ACAACAAAGTATATTTTAAAAATAAATTTAGACTTTAAACAGATTACACAGTAACAAATCGTTTCACAAAACATAATTGATACGAAAAATAAGGTGATGTGATATTTAAGAAAAATTATTTAGAAAATATATAGTAGATTATTATACCAGAATTTAGATTATACTCGAAAAACTTAGATAAACTTAGACAAATTAATGCAATATATTACGAACTTAAGCAATTTCAGACGCGTAATTAATAATTATACTATGCAGACTATTTCAGACGCGTATTTAATGATCATATAAGGTAGACTATTTTAAACGAACTTAGACAACTTAGAAGAATTTTAAACACGTACTCGATAACTATATAATGTAGACTGACTTCACGGATGAACGCAGCATCCCAAGAAGCGTCCGCTTCGGAAGAGTGGGAGTACCTCCACCAACGCAAAAATGCTTCCCCCACTACTGGCCTCCACACCGTGAGACCCAAGTCAAGGAGAAGAATTCGCTGACAATCACACTTCTCGGAACTAAATAAATATTAATTACTATCAAGCTCGAATTCTCCGAAGAGAAATAAGTCTCACTTACATTGGAATGTTATCAAGCGCGAATTCTCCGAAAAAAGATAAGTGTCAGTTACATTGGAATGTTATCAAGCGCGAGTTCTTGGAACTGCGCAGTCAGCAAAAATGCACGTGCAGATATTTTATACAGACTATGAGTAAGGAATATAATAACGTGTGAATATTTTATGCACATTTTTTTTTTTTATCTTGAGGTTTGTATACCCGGGCGCTCAGTCTCTGGACCATTGTACTCGGGCCCCTTGCGGGGAAAAACCTATGACCATAGTGGTCCAGCGGGCAGCCCCGGCTCCCTTGCAAAGCGCAGGAGTCTGGCCGCCCCTAAGCCTACTAGGTCGAAGTTGTTGTCGCTGGTCCCAAGGACATCATTTCTGACGTCCGCGAGCCCAACGCATTGAGTTATGAGATGAAGAGGGGTATTCTCTCCTTCGCCACACCTGCCGCAGACCGAGTCTTGTGCAAGGCCCAGTCGCGTAAGGTGCTTTCTAAGGTGCCAGTGCCCGGTGACCAATCCTACCACCAGCCTCAATTGGGCTCGGTCTAGGTTGATCAGCTCGGTACTTAGCTCCTCCGAAGGCCCTGAAAACAGAGCCTTCGTGTGCTCCATGCCAGAGCCTTGCACCCAAAGATTCCTGAAGCGGTCTAAAGCCCACTTCCTAGACCTCCACGGCATGAGCCTCTCTGACACGCTGATGTGGACTGGGCTTGCCAGATCGTGCCGTGAAGCTCCAAGTCTGGCAAGCTCGTGCGCTCTTTCGTTGCCCTGAACGCCACTATGATCCGGCACCCAGAGCAACCTTACTCTGTTGACACTGCCTAGCCGTGTCAACAAGTCGACACAGTCCTTCACCAGCCCAGACTTGACCACGGTGCTGTGTACAAGGCTAAGCGCAGAGTGGCTGTCACTACAAATGTAGATATGTTTGCCATAGTACCCCCTTTCGAGGATACTGTGGGCGCAGGAACAAATGGCAAACAGCTTCGTCTGAAGAACAGAGGCGGTACCGGTTAGGGTGTAGGACAATTCGGTCCTAGGCCCTTCAGACCAGACTCCTGCTCCCGCATTGGAACCCGCTTTAGCCTCATCTGTATACCAGACGGGCCCTGCGGGTGCCAATAAATGATTTTGGTCCTCTGCCCATGATTGTCTATCTAGGAAGAGGACCTTGTAATTGTATTGGAAATGGTACTTCTTTGAGCACCAGTCACCCCCAAGACGGTTGACTTCCTCGAAGTCTTCCGTTCTTGACAGGATCGATGCGTGCCCGTAGGAGGCCCGTCTCCAGCTCCCACTGACTAGCAGCCTAAAGGCTGCGCTTCTGGCTCTTTCCTCCGCTGCAATGTGCGAAGGAATGATGTTGAGCAGAGCCCCTAGAGCCAGGGTCGGGGTAGTGCGCATTGCGCCCTTAATTCCCAGCCCTGTTAGCCTGTAGACCCTGTCTAACGCTTTCCTGTTTTRAGCCCGCTCGACGCCAGGCCACCAAACTAGAGAGGCGTACGTCAGTTAAGGGACCAGTATAGCGGTGTAAATCCACCTGTAAACCATCCGTGGTTTTAACCCCCACGTCTTACCAAACATCTTCTTGCAGGCCCAGAAGGTATTAAAARCCTTCCTGGCCTGGTTGTCGATGTGGCATTTCCAACTGAGCTTGCTATCTAGCGTAACCCCCAATTAGCAAACTTCCCGGGAAAACGTCAGCTCAGTKCCAAATATTGAGGAAGGCCWTATATTGAAAAKCCTCTTCCTTGTAAAAAGCACCATCTTAGTCTTATTCGGGTTCACYCTCAAAGACTTTGACGTGCACCAATCCTGAGCGATGTCGAGCGCTCTTTGCATCTTGCTCGACAACGTGGCCGGGTGATTGCCGGTGACCGCTATGCAGATGTCATCGGCAAACCCAACCGTTTTAACCGCAAGTTTCCCGAGCCTGCTCAGGAGCCCATCAACAACCATGAGCCACATCAGCGGGGAGGTAACTCTACCCCGAGGGCACCCTCTGCCGACGTGCGCCCTGATGTCTGTCCCGCTGCGACTAGCAGTGATAATTCGTGAGCGGAGCATGAAGTCCATCCACTAGACGATAGTGTCGTCGATGTGGAAATCCCTCGCTGCTCCGCATATAGCTTCGAAGGAGGTGTTATCTAACGCCCCTCGACGTTTAAGAAGACACATAACGTGGCTTCTTTTCTGTCGAGGGCACCTTGTATCTCGCGAACGAGGCCATGAAGAGCAATCTCGACAGACTTACCTGCTTGGTAAGCGTGCTGTGATTGCTGCACCGGTAATGTCGCCAGCGCTCCATCCCTTATGAACCTATCAACGAGTCTTTCCAGCGTTTTCAGCAGGAAAGACGTCAAGCTGATAGGCCTAAAAGCCTTGACTTGGTCATATCTGTCTTTTTCCGTTTTTGGGATAAAGACTATTTTGTCCTCCCGCCATGGCTTAGGTACGTATCTCAAGGCGAGATACGCTCTAAAGACACGGATCAGATGCTTGACTAGCCAATCCCCTACATTTTAAAGAAGATCGGGGAAGAGCCTGACAACCCCCGTGCTCTTGTACCCGTCGAACGAGTCCAGAGCCCAGCAAATCCTGTCATACGTTACCACTGCAGCAGCAGTGGTCCAGTCACCGGGTCTCGTGGCGCGGAGCTCCCCCTGAGTCAGGGGGTTTTCTCGACCTGGCCGGATCCCGGAAAGTGTACCTCAAATAGGTGGACAAGGATGTCCTCGTGTTTCTCAAGCTGCTCCCCGTTCGGAAGAGAGAGTCTACCAAGGCTTGGTTGTAGGCCATTGGCGAGGACTCTGCGACGTTTAGCTACTAGAGGAAGGGCCTCAACATCGGAGCAGAATTTTCCCCAGGCCACGCATTTGGATTTTTTGATGAGCTTCTTATAGGCCCTCTGCTCGTTCCTATAATTAGCCCAATCTTCAGAGCTATTTGATTTTAAGGCTCTATTTAGGAGGCGGCGAGAACTCGAGCGCAGTGAGCTCAACTCCTTGCTCCACCATGCTACTCTTGTCCTGCCCCCCCGTGTCCTGAGAGGGCAAGCAGCTTCGAAGGCCTGAGTGATGGAAGAGAAGAGTAGGCTCACCCGTTCCTCAATCAGACCCTTAGTTCTTAGCCCTCCGCTTATACCCCTGGGCCTGCCTTCTAGGTCCCTCTTGTAGAGAGCCCAGTCAGCGGCTCTTGGGTTTTGGTAGGTCCTGAGAACGTGCTGTTCCGTCTCAGTCCTGAGCTTGAMGAGGATGCGGCGGTGATCCGAGAGTGAATCCTCATCGTCCACTCGCCACTCCTCCAGCCAATGAGCAACTCTAGGGGTGCCCAGTGTTGAGTCAATCACCTCTTGTCTCCTTGAGGTGACAAGGGTTGGTCTGGATCCCCTGTTGAGGATCTCCAGATTCGACGACGAGAGGTATTCCAGCAAAGCCGTCCCTCTCATATTTGTATGTGAGCTGTCCCATGTGACGTGGTGCTTGTTAGCGTYCACTCGATCACAAGGTCCAGCCCTTCTCTGCGGCAGTGTTTCACTACAGCCCTCAGTTCCTCTGTAGGCAGATGTTCGGCCGAGTCGTAGGAGAAGTATGCTGAGCAAACGATAAGGTCGGTCAGCCCACCTCCCAACATCAACATAACCGAGGCCACCGCAAGGTCCCTGCTGCAGAATCTGCTTAGCTTCAGGGCGTGGTGCCTTTTGAAAACAAAGACACACGCCCTTGGGCCGGTTACGCATGGGTCATAAACCAATGTTCCCATGCTGCGATCGATCCCTTTAACATAGATCCAGGGTTCCTGTATAAGGGATATGTCTGTCTGATCCACTGCTCGGTTCTGGCTGAGAACACCCGAGGCCGCTATGCAGTGTTGCAGATTGATTTGAGAGAGTTGGAGGCACGCTAGCCCCCTAGGTGATAGCGTGTGCGCCCTTCTTCCTCTTTTTTGGTTTAGGGAGTGGGAAGGGGAGGGGGAAGGAATGTAAGAGGGGGACGGGATAGGTACTGGAGGGGGTGTGGAATAGGAAAGAGGACAACATTTCACGCTACCGGCCATCGTCCTCAATCCCCTGTCTCCCAACTGCCTTCGGGGCCTCTATGGTCCCCGGGGATGTTGTGGACGGCCCCGTTAGGGACCCAGCAATGGTCCGTTGGACACCACGCCTGGTCTCCTCACGGGTGGTCTTGACCAAGGCGATGACCTTGGGTGGTCTACCTCTGGCCCTCGCCCCGCCCTCCGTATTTCCGTCGGACTGAGCCCTTGCCCCCGCATCCTTTGCGTTAGTAGGCGCTTGTGACGCGTTAGTAGGTTCCCGCTCCTTCGGCGTCAGCCTGGGGACGGCTTTTTGCGTAGCGGTGGTCCCTGTAGTCGCAGTCGACTTCACTGGGCCCCCTCTCTGTGCGACCGCTCCTGGATCACTCTTGGTTTCCCCAGGAGCAGGTGCTTGTCCCCCGCCTTCGCTCCGACCGGGGCTTCGTAAAAACGGGCCTTGCTTATACCGAAGTTAGGGGCGAGCTTACGCTTCTTTAATTGGTCTAATGAGGCCGCATCCACACCTAATACCGCGTGGACTTTGTCCTGGACAGCCCTTCGACTCCACACCCTCCACAAGGAGACTTAGAGTCCCGCGTTCTGCCTCTGGAGTCTCTTGAGGATGGTCGGCATGTCTTCGTCCGTGTCGGGGAACACCGCCGTCATCCTCTTTAGCCTCRGGATGTATTCCCTCTCCAGCACCTGGAGTTGAGCTTCCTTCCAAGGATTAAGGCCCGGGACGATGACTTTAAGCCATGTCTTCGCCTTGTCGTCCGAGCAGGTTATCGAAAGAACTCCCTACTCGTAACGGGTCCTCTCGAAGCACGGGACAACCTGATCCGTTGGGATCGAGTCCAGCGCCCTGATGAGTGCCCGCACTAGTAGTACACCCTGCTCCTGGCCGAGTGTCACTTCGGGGAAATCAACCGGCGCAATTGCCAGCCTCATATCCCTAGCCACAGCATCTGCGTAGTTGGTAGGACTTGTGATGATCCTACTCTTCTTGTTTACCGCAGACCTTTCCGGCGGGGTGCTGTCCGAAGGTCTGGGCCTTTTGGTAGGGCTCTGACCATCGGCTGCCACCTTCTCCTCATCCTCGCGATGCGGCTCTGGGGTTTGACCCAGCAAAGCCAATCTGGCTTTGCGTGCCTTTTTCTTTGCAGCCCTGCTCCTGTGTTTCTTCTTCTTTGTTGTATTGGGCGATGAGTCCGTGGGTCCGGCTTTCGCCGATTCCTCATCCCCAGCGCTCGAGAACAAATTTATGGCGACTGGAGTGGGTTCCTCTTGCGAAGTCCCCACGCCAGCTTGTGTTTTTGTTTGAGTATTTTTGTCGGAATCCATAAGAATCCCACGAGTAGTCAGGAAATAAGCGGACCGTCACCACAGAGCCTGTTGCGGT